CGAAATATTTTTCGGAAATAATCAGTGCGCTAATAGAACAGCAGAAATATTTAATGAGCGACATGAGAACAGTAACGTGCATCGAAAATATGTTCTAGAACTTGTAGCTAAATTTCGGGAAACTCTGTCAGTCGCCAATAAAAAACGCAACATTGAAAATCCCATAAGGAACGAAGCAATAGGAGTGGGGGTTTTAGGGCAAGTTTGTAGATCCTACGTCAAGTACCCGCAAATTGGAGACTGTGTGTGGTGGGAGTAGACGTACTGTCCAATGGATTCTAAAGGCCCATAGTTTTCATCCGTATAAAATTCACCTGGTACAAGAACTTAATGAAGACGATTTTGATCGGCGATTACAATTTTGTGAAGATATCAGTGAGCGAATTATAAACGATGAACATGTTATATTCAACACTTGCTTTTCCGACGAATGCTCCTTTTTCTTAAACGGCGTAGTAAATTGTCATAACTGCCGATATTGGTCCGATTCTAATCCCAGAATTTGTCATGAGGTTTATACACAGCAGCCACAAAAATTAAATGTTTGGGCTGGTATTTTTGGCGATCATTTAGTTTCCTTTTTTCTTACCTGGAAATTTGACCGGTGAAATGTATTTGGATTTACTGGAAGGCGCCATAGATCCTGCATTAACAGCCATAATTGAAAATCAGAATGATCGGCGGTACATTGTGAATAGGTTGATCTTCCAACAGGATGTTGCCCCACCACATTACGCATTACGTGTTCGACAATATTTGGACCAGACGTTTCCAGATCGATGGATTGGTAGAAGGGGTGCCATTGAATGGCCCCCAAGATCGCCAGATTTATCGCCTTTGGATTTCTTTATGTGGGGTCATTTAAAAAGCAAAATTTATGCTACTCAGCCAACATCATTGCAGACCTGCTACAAAGAATTGTGAATGAATGCCATCAAATTACTCCTCAAATATTGCAAAAGGTGCGGCAACGTTTTGAGCAAAATCTTTATTATTGCATGGAGAGTCATGCTGGCCATTTTCAACATTTACTTGCCTAACGGGTCAGTTCATTCTTCATTTTTAAATTACTTTGCTGCCAAATGTATTGATCTCCACTAATAATGATGTATTAGTTTTATTTGAGCTTTAAATCAATAAATCTTCAAAACTACTGAACTGAAGTACATTAATTTTATATCATTAAGATTTTGGGGGTGGTGTCACCCCCGCTTAGGAGGCTGCACGTGCTAACGTGATTTTTTGCCAAACTTGTGTCCCCCTCGAAAAGAAAATTAACGGGTCTGAGCGTTTTTCAAAAAAAAAACTGAGCTGTCAGTAAATGCGTCTGTTTCGTTTTCCATGCGCCACCCTGTATAATTGATTTCTGCAATCAACAATGCATGTAGTTGGATCATTCCTCCGTAGACGGACGCTCACGGCAATGATAGCGAGCAAACGTGGAGTGACCTAGTCTGCAAGGTGACATTTTGTTGTTTTTTGTTTGACGTTTCATAGGTTTTTACATAACAGCCGTGCGGAAAGTGCCCCGTTAATGGAACTGCTATTCTAGGAAGGGAAATTGATTCAGTAGGCGGTGGAGCTACGAAAAAACAGAAATTGTTGAAAATTGGGGTTTTGGAAATGTAGGAGGTGAATAGCTGTAACGTTGCGTTTTTAGTATCAGTAGCATTATTTTATTGAGAAGGGCTGATGTCACACATATTTTCCATACATCTACCGTTGAGACAGAAACATGTCAACATACCAATAAAGTTTCGCTTAGAAATTTGTGACTTTGAACGAAGGCGTGGAAAGTATTGAGTCAATCTATATGACGACTTGTTTCCCTATTTTACTATCGATACCAAAATTCCAATTTCAAATTCGGTAGCAACAGAAACAAAAATCCGTGTAAGTACGGTATATACTTTGCCCTATCGGATTTGCCTGTAGTCACTTATTTTAGAGTTTTCTTGTTTTCTACCAAAACTATCGTTTCAATCATTTACATAACAGAGAAAATTCTTCAAACGTACATTTGCCACCTGAAAAAGTATTTCATATACAGGGTGTTTCAGAACTAAGGGGTTATTCAGTGTAACAGTAGAAAACATTTGAGTATAGGGACCCATATCCGGAAAAGTGTCACTACGGCACTACGACCCTAAGACGCGTTAAAATTTAGAAAGACGATGAATTGCCTAAATTGGATTTAATGCATTTAATTTTTTCCTTTTGTACATGATATCATCACAACAATTGTTCCAAATGTCTTCCTCCAACCTGAATGCACCGATTTAAAAGTCGCACATGATTTCGGCGGACTTGACTAAAAATTTGATACTCGTTTTGACTGATTTCAAATGCTGCTGTAATTCATCCAATTAAGTCTTACTCTGTTTCTACTGGAGTTTCGTAAACCAAAGACTTTGGATGCCCCACAGGAAAAAAATCTAGCGACGTTAAATCGGGTGACCTAGGAGGCCAAGAAACTGCTCCAGCTCTGGCAATCCAACGATGCTCAATCCGCTGAGCCAAATACTCACATACTTGTACAGCAAAGTGAGCCGGCGCTCCATCATGCTGAAACCACATTTGCGGTCGAACGTTCAATGGAACATTTTCAATAAGTTCTGGAAGAACTTCCTCCAAGAAACGCCGGTAAATAGGTCCTGTTAACCGTTCCGGTAGAAGGTATGGCCCAATCAAATAATTATCAACAATGCCTGCCCATACGTTGACAGACCAACGTTACTGATGTTTTCTTGGAAAAATTGCGTGGGGATTTACTTTGTCCCAAACGTGGCTATTCCTACTATTAAAAATACCGTCTTTTGTGAAAGAGGCTTCATCGGTCCATAAAACATAGCGTAAAAAATTTGGTTCTGCAGCAATTTGATGAAGAAGCCATTGACAAAATTGAACTCTAGGATGATAATGGGCTGCAGTCAATCCTTGATCTTTCTGGAAGTGGTAAGGATAAAGTTGTTGCTCGTGTAGCACCCGCCAGATAGAAGCGTTACTCGTATTCATGTCCTCAGCAATGTGACGTGTGCTACTTGATGGTTCGTCGGAAACTCGCTGAAGGACCTCTTCTTCAAATTCGGCCGTTCTTACGGTTCGAGCAACACCAGTATCATGCATTTTGGTTTTAAATATGCCTGTCTCGGAGAGCCGCCGATGAATAGCAATAAACTTTTTTATCCCGGATGCTGTCGTTCGGGATAATATTCTTGGTACAACCGCGCTGCTGCTCCTGCATTGCAGCTTGTTGCTCCGTATGCCAAATGCATATCCGCCAATTCTTGATTGGTAAAGTTTTCCATTAGCAACAATTAATTTTTGTTAAATTCTTGCAACCTTCACAAATACGATAGCACGGCTAAGGCGATATGAAATGCAGCTACAAAAAACAATCTCTGTTATGGTTTTTAAAGATAGCAACACACAAAAGCGCCGGATATGGGTCCCTATACTCAAATGTTTTCTACTGTTACACTGAATAACCCCTGCAAGTTTGATCCCATAGTTCTGAAGCACCCTGTAGATATTATAAAACTTAAATTATAAACACAACAGTTATATTTGCAAAAACACGTTTTGTTATCCGGTAGCCAAATAAACAAGGTCGTTTCCTATCAGTAATTGCCGATCATTGAACTCTTATTCATTACGACGTCAACAGAGATGCTTTTTCTTCGAAAAAATACTTCCTTCCAACATGCTTTATTATTTTTGGGCAACCACGCAGGTCTGAAACATAAATACCTTGGGTCTGTAGAGGGATACAAGGGAAAGGGCGTTCGAGGTTCCAAGATTACTATGAGAACAGCATTGCCATTTGGCACTTGCGAGTGCCTCCACCAGTAACAACACATCTGTTGCCTGAACGAAAGGTTATTCACAATTCAATGCTGATATTATATCTGATAGATGGGCAAAAAGGGTTTACTGATAGCAAAATTCTAGTCCCAGTGCTCCTTTGCATCTTATCCATTGGAGCCCTGAGAACTGGACTGAAAGAGCGTATAATGTTTTCAAGAAGTAGCAAAACATTACATGTCTTTTTCCAGACGCGAACTTTCGTTTGCCACAGGCAATGCGACTAGATACTGTCAGCTAAGGAAACATCTCTGTAACATGAGATTGAGTGACACATCTTTACGTCCGCCCAGCTGCCTTATAGATCCGACAATCCATTCTGGGGGAACGCTGGCCTTTTAGGGGAAATCCATTGTGTCGCAACATCACCTTTTTCAACAGTCTGGGGTGGCTGACGATCCAGCATCGACCGACCCCTGGGGAGAATGTACAAGGCAGCCAATGAGGCCTAAACGCTGTGATCTTGTCCGATCGCCCTTCCTCCTACACAGAATACAAAACGGTTTGGGGCCCGTCCAAGCTTTCTCGTCATCTGGCTAAACCTCTGGGTTCAGGTACCCACAACACGTCTTTTGTTAGAGTTCAACTTTGATGGGCTGTGCTGAACTCCCGCACTAGAGCTGTTCTTACCTCGGAAGGTGCTACCGTCTGTGTTCATGAAATACGGAGGTGCATAATATTTGGAGATCTACTTCAGTAATACTATGCGTAACGACTAAAGAATACCATAATGATACTGTTCTAATACCTAAGTGCCATATCGTTAGTCGTTGCTACAATTTTGTAGGACGTCTTTATGGCGTCCTTGATTTTCATAGTATTTTCTCCCCTTCAGAAAAGCTGGGGCATTTCTAGATTTATACTGTTCCATGTCAGCGTCAGAGCTCTCGTATGGTCGGACGTATTCTTTTTGAATTGTTGGAAATTTCAGGCTGATATAACAGATATTATAAATCAAAAACATGAACAATTTGATGCTAGTAGATATTTGTAACAACCCCAGAATAGAGCGCTGACCTGGAACAATAGAAAACTATGAAAATCAAGGAGGCAATAAGGGCGTCCTACAATTATAGGAACGACTGACGATACTATTCTGCGAGATACAGTATACAATAAGTGTACTCTTTTTTCAGACACAAGGTACAGCCTAGGATTGGCTCTATATGCTCATATGAAATCCTTCAGGAACAGAATAGCACAGGTGAGTTTAAGGTAAGGAAAATAAAAACTACGAGAATAAAAGCGAATCTCGTCCACAAGGTGTTACGTTTGACGTGCGTCTCTGCAGTTGGCGTTGGCGTGAACCTATTTTCTAAGTCTAGGGAAGCGCTCAGAGATATGATTTTTGTTTATCGAATGTATACAGGGTTATCCAAATTAAGTGTCCACCATTAGTAACTTTGTTATTAGTCAAAATACAAAGTTGTTTGAATTAGCAAACTAGTAGCATTTTTAACGCTGGTAAAAATGAGAAATAAAAAAAAACAATTGAGAGTCGTTATTTTGATTTTTTTCAGTAAAATAACATTTTTTTAAATGGAAACCCCTGTATATTATATTTTTTTCTGTTAAAGCATCAAATTTTAAACAAAAAAGCTTACAATAACTTTTCTCCTAGGTTACAAATTGTTGAAGTTATGGCCTCCAATCTGAAACAATTAAATTGTATCGACAAACTTTATTTTCAACATCAACTTATAATCTTACAAAATACAATAACAATTTTTTTTAAAGAAGATGCTCGAAAACACCACCTTGTTCTTCAATACATTTTTGGGCACGTTTTTCAACTGCTCGAACTGTCTTAAGTATGGTCCTACCATCTATCTGGGTTATCTTTTCCCTAACTGCAGTCTTTAACGCGTCAAGGTTATCGTACCTTCGCTTGTAAATTTGGTTCTTTAAGTAACCCCACAAGAAGTAATCAAGTGGGTTTAGATCTGGTGATCTGGGAGGCCACTGTATTGGGCCATTTGTTCCTATCCACTGATCATTAAAAGTAGTACTTAGAAAATGATAAGTACCTCTGGAGTTGTGGGCAGGTGCGCCATCTTGCTGAAAATGCAGATGATGTCTACTTATAAGATCCAATTCGTCTAAGAAATTAGTCAGAATTTCTGACATAAATTCCACATATCTTTCACCAGTTAGGGTTCCCTCATAAAAGAACGGGCCAACAATTTTTGAACCAATTATACCGCACCAAACGTTGAAACTGAAACGGACTTGTGGGCCTCTTGGATGTACTAACAAAAGATTTTCTCTTGACCAATAATGGTGGTTTTTTCTATTAAACATTCCAGAATTTGAAAAATTTTATTCATCTGTCCATAAAAGGTAACGAAAGTTATTTACATTTTGGCGACAGAAGCTAAGATACCAATGGCAAAAAACAAGTCTTCTCTCTGGATCCCCCGCCGAAAGCGTTTGAACTGGTCGGTACTTATACGGAATAAATTTGTATTTTTTTAAAATCCTTTGAACAGTACCATAACTGAAATTAGAGTCCTTGAGAATATCTGCTATTGAATTCTCACGATAAGCTTCAAAATATCCAATAACTGCAATTTCCGTGGCCTCGCTTATTATGAATTCTTTTTTTGCCCTTGTTTTAGCAAAAACATTTTCGTTGCCCCTAAATTTTCGATAAAGCCTCAGAAAATATCGTTCATACGGTTGAATGCGAGCGGGATATAATTCACTGTTCTCAAGGAGGATTTTCTGCACACTAAATAGCATTCTAACATATCACACTTTTCTTCATGGGAGAACATTTTTCTTTAAATTAATGACACAATAAAGCTTATAAACAAGTATTTACACTAATGTTTGACATTATTTGATTTTATCATTGTTTTCCAAAGCCTTCTAGTTGCGAGTATGTCCAGTTTAACAATTTGTCGCTTATCTTGATGCTGTCAAATCGCGAACGCCATGTTGTTTTCATAGCCGTCTTAATATTATAATACTGCAAATAATTAAAAATATTTATCGTTATTTTGACTTTATTTTTGACTTTAGCGGAAAAGTCATTATGAACTTTTTTGTTTAAAATTTGATGCTTTAACAGAAAAAAATATAATATACAGGGGTTTCCATTTAAAAAAATGTTATTTTACTGAAAAAAATCAAAATAACGACTCTCAATTGTTTTTTTTTATTTCTCATTTTTACCAGCGTTAAAAATGCTACTAGTTTGCTAATTCAAACAACTTTGTATTTTTACTAATAACAAAGTTACTAATGGTGGACACTTAATTTGGATAACCCTGTATATTGTGGCTAAACCCCTTAATTTGTTACAACTAGGTTCAACCGGTTAGAACTAACTATAGCTACGTTGGCTAGTGTCAGTTGAAGGATATGTATTCATAGCTAAATCTAGAATTAGCCTGTTACATTTGGGTAAAACTAGGTCTAAGTTTTATATTTAGTTTTAACCACTAAAGATTGGAAAGACTTAGTTGTAGCCGGTGTGAGGTTGACTACACCTGGATTTAACTGAATGCAACCAGCTAATCCTACGCTTGGCAATTAATACGTAGGTTACACCTAGGTGTATGCAACTGCTTGTTTATCCATCTAGTTCTAACTGATTATACCTAGTTGTGACCATATTTCTAGTTTCAACCGTAACATATATGATTCAGCGCTTCAAGCCCAAAAATCTATGATTTTTTGGAGACTTCTTTCCATGCTTTTCTGTTTTTGTTCGCTTCCTTTCAGTGTGGCTTAATCTTCGTTATTCTCTTTGGCACCTTTCAGCCATTTCTTTTGCGACCTCCTTCCGTTCCTCTACCGCCTTTCCTTCCAGTAGAACTTTTTTGACGCTCCTATAAGACGGCATTATGTAAACTTGTCCTTTGAACTCACGATTTTAGTATTATGCCGGGTTGGTTATATTACATCTCCATCACTTCTTTGATAGTTCATCTTTTCCATATGTACCATCCCTGTTTTTTGGATCCCCATTTTTTTTGTAACATTTTCTTTTCCCGGCGTTCTAATTTTTGTATGTCCTTCTCGTCTAATATCCGAGCTTCACTGCCATATAATATAGTTGGATAACTGATTTACATAAATATCTTGATATGGAAAAATAAAATGTCAGGAAAAATGTGAAACTAGCAAGAAGTCTACTGAGAAAGAAAAGATATTTGAAAACGTACAAACATACAAGTTGAGAGAACGAGAATATGCTGAGAGGTATAGAGAGACTTTATCGATTAAATGAGTGGAAATGGAGATACACGGAATGGGAGTAGCATCATTGTGGGAAACTTTTAGAGATATGGTGCTAACGTCAGTTAAATCAGTTTGCGGTACATACAGAACGAGTTCGAACAGAAATGGAATAATAGCACAAAAATACAAATTAAATATATAAAACGGAAATGGCTATGTTTTCTAAACAAACGTACAGAGGAAAGCCATAATGAATACGAGAAACAGAGAGAAAAAGTGAAAACTATACTGAGAGACTGTAAAAAGAAAGTATGGAGTGATTTTGGATATAAACTTGAGCGTGACAGCAAAGGTAACCAAAAATTATTTTATAATGTCTTGAAGAGCTTCAAAATAGACAAAACGCAGCAACTGACGCAACAGGGATAATGGATCGAGATGGAGTTCTGATTATGGACGACAAAAAAATACTGGCTAGATGGAAAGAGTACTTTAATGATTTGTTGAACTCACAGAATGACACCGAACCAGATAATACCTCGGTATCTACGACACATCAAGACAATGAAGATACAGAATAAGAGGAGATAACAATAGACGAGGTAACAGAAGCATTGAAGAAACTTAAAAATGGACCGGCACCTGAAATAGATAAAATAACAGGGAAAATGTTGAAAAATATGGATTAAACTGGAATTAGAATACTACTTCCCCTCTTCACAAAAACATAGAGACAACAGATAATACCCGAGCAGTGGACAACAGGGCTGATTTTCCCACTTCTCACGAAAAGAGACAAAAAGGATTGTAATAATTACAGAAGAGTAACGCTGCTGTCTACAATGCTCAAGGCCTATGAACACATAAAGGAGAAAAAACTAAGAACGTTAATAGAGCCGACATTGTCTGAAACACAAAGTGGCTTCAGAAAGAGCAGAAGCACTAAGGATCACATATTTACCATTAAAAACTTGATAAGTTAATTTTTACCAAAATTACCTTGCCTTCATGGATATTGACAAATTTTTTGATAGAGTTCCACGGAAAAAGTAAAAAGAGAATATACTGAGAAGAAATGTTTCTGTAACTGGTAGTATTGGGAGTCTACAGGAAAATTTGAACATTTGGAATATAGCACTTGAAAATAATGATATGAAAATAAATAGACTTAAAACTGAAGTTATGGCTATGTCAAATGAAAAACTCAGAATGGACGTAAGAATAGATAATGTAAAATTACAAACGGTGAACTCCCTTAAATATCTGGGAGCTTTATTGGAACCTAACGGCAGAAATGAAATAGAAATTTCTGAAAGGATAGGAAAGGCAAACAAATATGCGATGAGTAAAGGTTCTATCAATTGAAAAGAGGTGTCCAAGAAAACTAAAATTACAGTATATGATAAGAAGTGAGAATTTATACTAGAACACATAGAAATCAAGCAGCTGAGATGGGGGGAACATTTGCAAAGAATGGGTGACATCATACCGGGAGAGTAAGGTGCTAGGAAAAAGGAGAAGGAGCAGGCCACAAAGAGCATGGGAGAATACCATCGAATAGATATTGATGGAAAGAGGAACGGATTGGAGAGAAGCTAAGAAACTTGCTTTAAACAAAAAAAAATAATGGACTAAATTCAAGTACAAATAATAGTGGGCTTTGTAATGTTTTTTAACCCTACACCATTTAGGGTAAATGGGATTTTGATTATATAAGTATATATATATATATATATATATATGTATATATACATGGTGACTTCGAAGTTGAGTCATTTATTTTAACAGTGAGTAGATCTGATCAAAAGAAATGTTTTTTTCCTTTAACATTTTTGTGGTAAAATTAAAGTAACAAAGTTATAGCCCTTTAGAAGTTTGAGTACCGTCCTGTCTCAATAATAATATTATGTGCTCGTGTTTGGCAACAACGTATATAATCCGACTTATCGGTCCATCGCATCGGAAACAAAAAAGCGAAAGAATTTGAAACGCTGATCACGATGTTTTTGTCCAGTCAATGTGTCAGTCGGTAACGCGTGAGTGAATAGTGATGTTTGCTGCGTGGCTCAAACGAAATAAACAATGGCACATGTTTATGCGGATCGGTTTCCCAATCGAGTGCAGCCAACCCCTCGTGCCTTTGTTAATGTAGTACAACGGGCTCGTGAATCAGGTGACTTAAGATCTCACAGGGGAGGGCATGCCGGTGCTCCAAGACCTCACGATCAAATACAGGTCCGCACTGAAATACTTGTCGGGAGGATACTTTATAAAACAAGGTAAAATTGTTTTTAATTGTTTTTTTATTTTTACACACATATTTTGGTTTATCTTCCTTCTTCAAAGTCACCCTATATATATAGGGTGACTTTGAAGTTGAGTCATTAATTTTCAGACAATGATTGTAGAAGGAAGATAAACCAGAATATGTGTGTAAAAATAAAAAAAATAAAAAAAAATTTTTACCTTGTTTTATAAAGTATCCTCCCGACAAGTATTTCAGTGCGGACCTGTATTTGATCGTGAGGTCCCCTGTGAGGTCTTAAGTCACCTGTTTCACGAGCCCGTTGTACTACATTAACAAAGGCACGAGGGGTTGGTTGCACTCGATTGGGAAACCGATCCGCATAAACATGTGCCATTTTTTATTTCGTTTGAGCCACGCAACAGACACTATTCACACGCTAACCGACAGACACTGACTGTATGTATAACTGAACTGAATAAAATACTTAATTGCAAAAACATCGTTCCAAATTCTTTCGCTTTTTTGTTTCCGATGCGATGAACCGGTAAGGCGGATTATATCCGTTGTTGCCAAACACGAGTACATGATATTATTATTGAGACAGGGCGGTACTCAAACTTCCAAAAGGCTATAACTTTGTTACTTTAATTTTACCAGAAAAATGGTAAAGGAAAAAACATTTCTTTTGATCAGATCTACTCACTGTTAAAATAAATGACTCAACTTTGAAGTCACCCTGTATATATATATATATATATATATCTTGAGATTACCCTGAGATGATCGTGTTACTTAAAACTCACGTTTCTTTACTCGCTTTTGCTATTGCTTTTTCAATATTTATATCTTTCTCTGCTTTATTTGTAATTGTTACTTCTAGGTATTCGAAGTGATTCACCCTTCACAATACTCTCTGCTATTATTCCGTTACTGCTATTTTCAACGAATCATTTCCTCTCATTTCTAGATATTTTGTTTTGTCTTAATTTATATGAAGCCCAAATCATTCGGCCCTTTCTTCCAATCCTTTACGTCTTTTCTAGTTTTGCTTTCGAGCTCGCTATTAATTAATTAAAAATTAATCGATGACTTCTGCAATGAATAACTCCATCGCTTGTATGCTTCACCCATGTAGAATAGCTTTCGTCTAAAGTTAAGGGACGTTTATTCATTATACCGTTGCTGTATATTTCTATTTACTGAGTGGAAAGCTTGGTTTTTCTTTCAATTGACATATCTACTCGATTATTCTAAATTACCATGTATTGCTTCCAGTATGAAGACGAAACTGACTATGTGGACACTTACGGTGCGCTCCTCACGAGATGCATCAGGGTAGCCATGAAACTTCAAGAACTGGGCATTGGAGAAGACGACATTGTCAGCGCATGTACACATAATCATAGAAACAGCTGCGTACCTTTCATAGCTAGCACGTTTATTGGAGCTATACCAGCCACTTTCGATCCTGGGCTATCTGATATTGATACTGTATCATTGCTCAGGTTTGTTCTTTCACATATACAGGATATAACAGAAGTAACGGAATAGCTCTGTATTTTTCGGGGTGAGGTATTTTCGACATAGGTCAAGGTCAGGCCTATACTTACTTTGGATGCAAATGGTGCTCTTAGATTTGACCTTGAGCCTTATCTTCAAGATTATAGGTTAAATCAACTTTTGTTCAATCAAGAGAAGAAACTCCTTGGAATGTCCTTAGAGTGTAATCCGCCGTTCAGCTCCATTAACCTTGGTTCCTTCTGCATTATAGTAGGGGGGGCGACCGAAATTTTCTGGTTACAACATCGGGTACTGATAGATACGATAAAAACTGGTCAAATTTCGACATTCGGCCAAGGAACCGCTCATAGATCCTTCTGCATATAATGAGGTAGTGTTGCCAAACTGGCATAAAATGCTACATTTATATTAATCAGTTCTCTCGGTTTTTGGTTACGTCAAAAAGTCATATGGAATATGTGTCATGTCGTCTTAAGTCCCGGCTGTCCAAATAACCGGCAACCATGTCAAATGCTCCGACCCTGGGTCAAAAATCAGTTCAACGTTAAAAAACATATAAATTTCAAGCTGACGCTTCTCTGTTGTTGCAAAATTAACAGTGTCATTTAAAGACTTCACTTCAACATCACACAAAGTGAGTGAGCTCAAATGAACGTATATATTTTCACTAATAATCGCTTTGCATACAAACGTGTTAACATACGTCCTTTCCTGTCAACGCCACAGGTGTTACTGAATACTGATGTACAAATATTGTGTTCTGGAAGAAGACAGTATCTACTATGTCATGTCACTATTCCATCTGTCTGATTGGTCGGTGCATTTACTGTGCTTTACCTGTGGTCTGAACGCAGATACTGTGTTTTCTAATTCTAGGTGTGAATAGAACTGTGTAGATAATGTGTTTTACAATCATGTATATACACTATTTGGCTTCCTAAGAAGTATTCAAGTTATTTACAGGCTAGGGTTAGGTCTATTATATGTGACCTGTGTTTTTGCTGAACCAGTTTCCTCAAAACGATTAACAATCCAACGAATTAAAGGCTCTGTAGGGCGTTCATGTCGGCCAAAACCAGTGCGAAGTTTGCGAAAAGTATTTTTTATATTTCAACCGTTTTCGTAATAAGTTTGGATAACCAAAATGCGTTGTTGTGTTGTAAACGAATCCATGACTATAAATGGCATACCTCTGAAAGTTCATTTATGCATATCACATGACTTTTACTCACATGGTAACACATAAAATTATAAGTAAAAAAAAGTAATATATGGCGCACCCAGTACAATCTAAGACTACATTGCGGTATTGCCTTTTCGGATATTTTATTTGCTTTTCTTTCTTTCATTTGAACTTCTCAAAAAAATCTCAAATGATATTAAGCAACATATTCTAAAAGTCGAAAAGTTACGTGAATAACGACTATTACTAGTTTTTGCAGACAAAAGCTTCACGTAAGGACAATTTAGGTTTAGTCCTTAGCAAATCTGAAGTGCCTCCGCTGTGAAATCTATCACTTCTCATTTGTAACCACCTCCCTAAGACAGATTAGATTCATTTGAGGTTTAGATTCTGCGTTCCTGATTGGCTTTACAAGGCATCGATTCTATTACGTAATTGTTCGAAAATTCTATAGCCTTGAGCCTCGCGTTACCTATCTTCAGCAAAAATGAACTTTTAAGTTGGCGAGTATAGCGTGTGTTTTAGAAAGACGATATTCCTAGAGTACAAAGTACATCCAAAAAGTTCCTATAAATGTAAGTCGAGAGATACTCTCCTACCGAGATGCAAGGCGAAGTTTCAATTACGAAATTGAAAAAAATTGTGTACGGAGCGGGTAAAGATACTGAGTACCGTGAGCATATCATAAGCAATAAATACACAGAGTTTCACGCCCTAAACTGGGGACTTAGAAACTCTGGTTCCTGACCCGTTAGTTTAACATATTTTCTACGCCACTGGCCTTTCCGGAGAAAAAAAGGGCATTTCATGAAATACCATAAATTTTGTCTCTTGAGGAATTTTTGTCAGATTACTTCGAATATGTTATAAGTAAAATAATAAGAATTTTTCTGAAATTGATTGGACTTTAGACAAATAGAAACATTTAATACTGGTAATTCCAAGAGTCTAAACCTTTTCATAAGAATATTTTAGGATTTTATCTCAAATATTCAAATGTAAATATCTCCAAAACAAGTGATCTGACAAAAGTTTCTTAAGACACAGGATCTATGGAAAATTGTGTGGTATTTATGAAATGCACTACTTTTCTCCGAAAAGGCTACTAAGGTAGAAAATATTTCCTATTAGATGTTCATGTACCCCAGTTTCTACGTCCCTGGTTTAGTTTGGGCCTGGCAGCTGTGTTTGTGTGTATTACTGATGAATTTTTTCACTGAACATCTAATATTCTAACTCAGTATCTTTACCCGCACCGTAGATCTAATTTTCTCAAATGTCGTAAGTAAACTTCATCTGTATTCTCGGTACGCCAGCATCTTTGGACCCATATTCATAGAAGCTTTTTGGTAATTTTTTGTGTACTTTCTATCCCAGAATCATTGGCAAGTCTTTCTGAAACACTTTGTATACCTTTTGAATGTCTTACAATGGCGCATCATTTGTAATACGAAAGATTGCAAAGTACTCGTAAATCAAAAACAAAACTTTCAAACATGTAATGTCAAGATATGGCCTGAAATATGGCTTCAATTTCAATTTAACATTGTAGCCGCAGAGTTCTACCGTGAAAAAAGTCTCTCAAATATTTAAACTTTTGAAAATACCGTTAAAAGACTAACCTACGATGCGTCGCGATGCTCACCTCGGAAAAATTGTCTAAGTTACACAACTGTTTTATTTTGTGTTGCGTTAATTTCTAGGAAAAGTAAATCAATTCTTAAAAGAAATAGACATTTCAAAGACGCAAATACAGAGAAATCCAAATATCACTGACGAGGTAATGTGTATGAGATAAGCGCGGGAAGCATGCGATGCGTATGTTATAAAGATGATAGCAACTTGGTACTGGTAACTCAGCGACCCAAGACATTTTTATTTTTGCTGACTAAGTTTTGAATCAATATGATTTTTTTTAATATTTACTGACTGATTTTTGAATCAACATGAGTTTTCAAATATCCCTTTCAGGTAGTATTTTTTATAACTTTCAGACTGATGCAGCCAAAAGTGATATTTATTTCTCAGGAAATGTTGAAAGATTTTGAAACATATATGGAAAAAGCACGGGTGAAACCAGCCTATACTATTGTGTTTGGGGAAAGCAGAGGGCAATACATGAGTTTTGATGAGTTTTTAAAGCCGCAGATCAAAGAAAATCAGTTCAAGGTAAGATCAATGTTACCGAAATTTTATACAGGCTGTCCCGCTATAAATTACCCTCCTTTAAGTTTTTGTATGGCTGTTCATAAAAAAAGATTTATCCACAAATTATAGGCTCTCGTATCAAGTTTTTCATGTAATATCTTTTTTCAGAGTAGTGTCATCGAATGAAGTTTGAATTAAGCAAGCTGTATATTCTTAGTGAAAATGATAGTAGCATTATTTCTAATTCTAAATATTTACTCGTATGTTGAAAACTTTACCACCATGTTTCTCAAAAGTTAAGACGTTTATATACTAAGTGACATATAAATCCGAACACTCAGTTTAAATGGTTTTATTTTAATAAAATTTTGTATAAGTACTTAATGAAGCATAATAAGTAAATGATAAAAATTTCAAAATGATTGCACTGCTTTAAAACCCTTTGACCTTTAATAATGTGTGGATGCACCCTGATGTGCTACGCATTCTCCAACGCGCCTAGGCATGCTTCTGATCAGATGGTCAATGTCCTCCTGTGGTATCTCATTCCAGGCAACCACCAACTCCTCTCGAAGTGCTTCTAGAGTCTGAGGAGGACGTTGAAAATTGAGCAATCTCTTACCCATCATATCCCACACGTGCTCAATTGGGGATAAGTCGGGAGATCTTGGTGGCCATGGTAACAATGTGACATCATTATGTTGAAAGAAGTCTATTGTGACTCTTGCAACATGTGGTCGGGCATTATCTTGTTGGAAAGTTGGATCTGCCAGGGTGTCAAGATAGGGTAAAAGATAGGGTTCTAGAACTTCGTGGATATAACGCTGCGCGTTCATGTTACCTCTGATGAAGATTAAAGGTGACCTGGAACCATAAGCTATAGCACCCCAAACCATAACTCCAACAGTATGATGAACATGTCTTTCAACAAAAAACTGTGGATTCCTCCTTTCACCACGTCGCCTTCTAACCCTGGCACGACCATCGTGCATGCCTAAACAAAATCGATACTCGTCACTAAAGACAATACTGTTCCATTCCTGATCCCAGAGTGACCGTTATCTGCACCACTCAAGGTGATTACGTGGGTGTTCTCGAGTTAAAGGGAGGACCCAGTGTGGCCGGTATGAAATAAGAAGGCTGAAAATTTTTCCACTTGTTATTTACTGTAAGATAAATACATTCACCAACTTTTATTAAAATAAAACCATTTAAACTGGGTGTTCGGATTTATATGTCACTTAGTATATGAAGATTTCTTCTTAAAATGGACTCACATATCGCGCCTTAAATTAGGAAATACCATTAATAAATCTTTTTAAAAAACACAGCTTTATTCTGAAATTGGAAGCTCTTAGATAGCGGCTAATTATATCGAGTTGAAAACTAGGCTTTGTTTTTGTACTTTTAACACTGTATGTCGCTGTAAAAGTTGTTTACTACGTGAGACTGTTTCTAGGTATACGAAACAAGTAATCCGAAAAAGACAGCTGTAGTCATGTTTAGCAGTGGAACCACTGGATTGCCTAAAGGAATATGTCTAAACCACTACGCACTACTGAAACAATCAGGAAGTTTTAGAGATGACTGCCCAGAAATTATAAGTGTGTATAAAATATCGACGACTACTTCTATTACATTTAGAATACATACATCTGGTTTCAGATTCTGATACTGCAGATTCAGTTCTTCTCCTTTATCCAACATTATACTGGATAAGCGCAGTGTGTACACTGATAGGAGCTGTTTTGAGAGGCGAAGCAAAAGTTCTTTGTAGGAGCTTTAATGCAAAGAGATTCTTTGAGATAGTAGAAAAGTATAAGGTACCTTATTATACCATAGCTTAGAATGTGGGTGAATTTCAAAAATATTTTTTCGTATTTTAAAAAAAGCTAGAAATGTAAAAAAAAACTCGACACCTTTTGAGTGAATCCAGCAACAGCAAACTGGGAAGTCCGGGGTTCGTGTCCCAACAGTGATGAGTTTTTTCATTGTTTTTTTACCAATATCGAATAAAATAAAACAATTCGTAGTTGAGTAGACTATCATAAGTACTAGCTACTGATACATACATACACATCTACATAAACGATACATTATCTTCCTCGCTTTACCTCTCCAGGTGACCCTAACCTTCGTGCCACCATACAACCTCCCTTTAATTCTCCAAGAACGTCCGAAAGATGTTGATTTGAGCAGCCTGAAGGCGATGCTCACCGGCAGTTGTCCCATAACAGCTCAACTGATGAAGGAAACGATAGAGGCTTTTCCTGAAACCCCTGTCAAGAACGGATATGGACAGACGGAACTTGCTGGAGCCATTTCCCTCTTCAGTCGTCCTGAAGATCGGGACATGCAGAAGAAGAAACTCACAAGTTGTGGCAGGATTTACTCTTATTTGCAGTGGAAGGTTAGTTTGGTAGCTTATTTGCAGTGGAAGGTTATGGAATAATCGAGGGTTGAATCATTATTTACCCACTACCATTTTTTGAATCTTCTGGGACATCCTTGGGTACTACTCTCACCAAAAGCAACCCTACAAAAACTCCGCTACAACTCGATTTTGGGTTCAGTTTCGTTACTTTTACATAACATCGTATGAGACTGCTAAATACGGGCGCCTTTAATGGACAAAATCGGTGCACGCGGATCCTAAGGTATTCAAAGACACGCCGCGCTAACGGTGTGTTTTGCCACCCCTCCGTTTCAGTGCTAGACGACGTACTTGTATAGCGAGAATGTGAAATATGAATGAACCATTTTTATTCTTGAAAACCTTATTTGAAGGATAATCGTATGAGTAACGCATTTCACAAATATAATCTGGTGAACCAACAACATATGTGGCAGGTACTTCTTTCAACAAAAATAATAATACACAATAAACGAGCTGTAAATTGTAACGCCTTCTAAGAAAAACATATTTCTTGTGTCTGATTATCACTAGTATACCGATGACTTGCTTATCACAATTTCTGTATTAGTCTAACCATATTAGAAAATTTTAGACATGGACGCATAAGATGGGTACACCAATTTTTGTGAGAAAACCTTTTCTATGACAACAAAGAATGAGAAAAAGTATGTTTTGGTTTCAATCGAAAGTGGTGACGGGAACGAAAAAACTTTTTTATAAGATTTTTAGGTATTCATGAGACCATCAAAATGAGAACACATGTAAAAAGATCCGACTAATAGCAAAAATGTTATGGCCGAAAAACGAGGCAAGATGCAGGCTTAGGCACTTGTTGGTAATGCGACGCTTATTTCACGCAACTACTTGAAATTCTTTATATACGTAGATTTCATACTTCTAAATAACAACAACAAAATTGGAGTATATTGGTCAAGTACTTTCTTGAGAATTTCTAATTGTTTATCCCAAAACACCTGTTTTCCTGCCATCGCTACTGGTTTATTGAGCAATATACAAGGTTCGTTGCATCTAATAGCAAAATACACGTGTTTGTTTACCTTGCCGATATGAATCACAAACCATTCCGAAAGATAACTGTTATTTTTATGCGAAAAACAGAGGTTACGTCCTTTTCTTCTAAACAAATCCAAACATTTCGTATTTGTGAGTAATTGAACAAATGCGGCACGATATTCGAAAAACACTATACACATTTTAAAACAATGCGGATGTGTCTATCAGCTTTTGTTGCGAATTAGTCACAACTACGAAATGTTTAAACTTGTTTAGAAAGAGAAAACGTAAACTTCGTTTTTCGGAAAAAAATTACATTTTTCTTTCGGAATGGTTGGTGATTCATATCGACAACGTAAACTAGTGTATTTTGCTATTAAGTGCTCTTTGAACGAACCCTGTATATTGCTCAATAAGCTAGTAGTGATGGCCGGAAGACAGGTGTTTTGAGATAAACCATTAGGAATTCTCAAAAACTACTTGACCAATCTACTCCAATTTTGTTGTGGTTACTTAGAAGTACGAATCCTACAGTTTCCCTCGGTTTTCGCCCATAACTCTTTGCTATTAGTCAGATCTTTTTACGTGTGGCCTCAATTTGTAGGTCTCATACACACCTAAAGATCTTATATAAAGGGTTTTTTAGTTCCTGCTAAAACTTTCGAAAAGTTTTCCCAAAAAATTTGGTGTACCCATTTTATGCGTCCGTATTTTGAATCCCCCTTGAACAACTTGCAGCAATAAAATATGCAATTATGTCGGAAACCAGGGGTATTTTCGACTAATATGGTTAGATTATAGCAAATGTAGATCTCTCGGAAGGTTCTCAACTGGATCACTTCAAAAACTCGACGGAGGAATATTTTTGTCGGATTATAAATTATTTTTTGAGGATACTATCGGATCGTTGGTCGAAGTGTCAGAAGTATCAACTAACTAGAGACGGCATTGCCAACAACTATTGAGCAACTGGTTTGGTTGCCGTTACTTTGGTGAGAAGGGTCGCTTTTGCTTTCGCTGAAAGTGGTCCCTTAGACCTCTTGGCATCGAGGATCGACAGAGAATCATTGAGATTCGGCATTCAAAGCGTATGAAAGAGAGAAACACGTATATCAGAGCGAGAGCGCGATTGAACTGTGCCCGATACTAACGACATGCGACAGCGCGTATAACGAGAGGTTCTTGTTTCTTAACCTATCACAATATACGTGTTTCTTAATAACCCATATTTGTCTAGCCAATCAAACCACATGTACTTGAAATTCTTCTTTATTGAATCTCGAAATGAAATTTAGAATGAAATGGAGTATAAAACTGAAAATAAAAACAAAGTGTCAGCTAGAAGACAGATGAATATAATGAAAATGAAATTTAGAATGAAATGGAGTATAAAACTGAAAATAAAAAACAACGTGTCAGCTAGAAGACAGATGAATATAATATATTTTTCGAAAAGGTGTCAATTGTACCGATAAGATTAGGACAAAAACTTATACAATAAAGAAGAATTTTTTTAAACACATGTGGTTTGATTGGCTAAACAAACATGAAGGATTATCATAAGTATAGGGGCATGTAGTTTGTGTCATTTTCTAGTGTCCTCGGAGACCATAATTGCTTGTTATCAAAGGTATTGTAATTTTTGGTGACAGCAGCTGTCAAGTTTTGCCGCGGGTAAGCTTGAAAAAACTGCTGACAGGCGGTGTCATACAATTTTCCCATCCTAGAAACCATTTGTAATTCAAAATTGCGTGTTTGTGACAGGTAGAGAATAAAACGAGGAAAATAGTCGACATGAAAACCACAGGATTACTTTTATTTTAATACGCGTTTCTCTCTCTATCCCCCGTTGACTGCCAACTACGAGATATCTCCTAGGTTGTTTACCTGCCCAGGCCGACTACGAGTTATTTCGTAGCTTCTTTACAGATCATCGTAGGATAACAGTGTGAATATGAATAGTTGGCCTATGGGAAGAAAAGAAAAAATCAGGGTTGGCTTAAATGAAAAAGATGAAAAAACATATAATTGTGGAAAATGCTTTCAAAATACTTGGGCTTATTCAAAAAGTGAGAGTATAAACTAGTTTTATTCAAGAAGAATGTTTTTACTGTTTGAGATAATTTTTAAAACAATTTCTCAATCAAAGTCTTGGCAGACCGGGCAAAAGTTATGCATTTTATTCTCCTGAGACTAGAATCCCGCAGTGTTGAATTGAGGACATCAATGATTTCCCGTTCCTATATATTTTAATCCTGATTTCAATAAATGTCCTTTTATTGAGATAGAAAATCTTTTCTCGATTTTATCTGCAAGAGATTCAACTTATACTTATTTCTGTGAGCTTTGGCATAGTAGAAGAGCTAGATGATTAATAGGTATAATCCAAATCCCTGCACTAAGCCATTTTTATCTGACCTAAAACTTCATACAACTCATTATTAGAAATACTAACCGCTAACTGCATACCTTAGAATAAGAAGTAAGTGATTTGGTGATTTTGGCACAAGCAAAATATCGTTTAGGCACTCACTATTGGTGAAGGTACCTTCAGACTTAATGCAAATGCACTTACTAACAAATATATATATATATATATATATAACTTGAGACGTGGTCATTGTCGTCTAGACCAGTTAGGTGAAAAATTAAAGCTTCCACCTTTTGTTGGGTACTTCGACAAAAATTTAAGCAAAGAGGACTCTTTATACTTTTTTTATTCTCTCTAGCTTTAATTGATGGCAAAGTCCATTTCACATATATATATATATATATATATATATATATATATATATATATATATATATACGACCGACAACAACTACTACATATTCGGTCACTAAATTAATAAAAAAGGCATCAAGTAGTTTGACTCTGCACTTCCCTCGCAATGCTGTCATCAATTCATAAAGGATTTGTTTGGCCCAAGTTGTTCCCTCTGAGCTAGCTACAAATATCAAAAAATTAAATGAATTACCAGACAACAGGCCGATACATTTAAGCTATACTCTTCCCACTACCGGACATTGACCATCTGGCAACGGTGCTGAACCTGCCAGCCATGCCGTGAGAGCGAGGCAGACAGGGTTTTCGAATGAAGTTGCCATGTGTCGTGACTGAAGCAAATGTGCGGGATAATCCATGACGTTTGAAATATGTACTAATAGGTGCGTAGAATTACCGGGGTTGGAAGTGTATTAATATATCTGCTAACATAAAAAAATGCTGTATCCAGACATGCATGTGATGCAAATATTTTTTATCATATTAATTTTCAAGGGCAAATGTATAGGGACATACTTTCTACGATGTGTGAAATATATACCAACCAAGGTACGTAACATTACCGGGGGTGGACGCGTATAAACATACTGCTGCCAAAAAATTATGTATTCCATTTTCGACCCTAAACGCCAACCTTTGACCCCTACAAAATATTTTTAAAAACTGATCAGGAGCCACTGAAACATCCAAAAACAAAGTTTGAGCGGTTCTTATTTTTAAGTGTTTTTGTCCCTTGCTCCGCCACCACTGAAATGATTTTTAAAAACTAATTTTTTCGTCCACTGGCATAGTAGTAACCTTGTAGGAAAATTCCATTGGAATCCGAGCGGTACTTCTCTAGTTATATACGGGCCAATGGTTAATGGACAGATCGACAGACAGACGAAAATGAGATGGTTTTTTGCGATGTGTATCATATAACCAAAAAACATAATATCTCATTTTAGAATTTTTTTGCGATTACAATACGTCCTGGACAGTAGGCGTAGGAAGCAAAATGAAGTGCTCTAGCCTTTACTGGCGGCTTTCTCTTAATTGAAATATATAATGGTAGGTGAAAGTGTTAGAAAAAGCATCCCTCTCCTAAAACTCACCTCTGCGCACATTGGTTCTGCATTCTCTGAAGCGTTATTATCCCCTAGTATAAATAGTAGCTTATGATTTAACGCGCACGCGCGCCTCGCTTCTCATGTTACTTTTTTGTCCACTATTATGGTATGTGCTTTGATGGAGGGAAAAACGTGTTTGTGCGGATCAGCAGCTTACATTATTATTTCTAGATATATGCAAATTAAGCTTTATTTATCATATTCCGTAAAATAGTAAGAACCTGGGTTCACCTTTCTCATAAAAACAAGTTTTTGGTTTTAATGACGCAAACCAGACTCCTTTAAGTTGCCTAATTCTGCTAGTCTTCCAAAATCCCTTATGAATTAGGGAAAGAATAACGAGCTAAACTGATAAAGTATAATGGAGAAACTGCCTTTTCGAGTAACAAGAATGGGTGGTTGAATGCAGAAAGCGAAAAATGACGAGTATGTGTTTTTTGTCGCTAAGGACTTACGACTCATTAATTACGTGAGGTGTTCAGAGAGTCGATTAGAATCACCTAATCTCACGCGGGGAAAAGGAAGGTCTCGACCAACATCACGTAATTTTTCCCTGCAAGAAACACATATAAAATTGCAAGACAATTGGGTGGAATTGAAGTAAACCATGAGTACATGAGTCTCCATAGACTGAATTAGAATAAATATACTTATACTGGCAGTCTTCATTTAAAAATTTTATTGTTAAATTTTAACATTGTGATCTTAGACTATGATCTAATCAAGCTTAAAGGTAGTCTTCACTAGTCTCGAATCGCATCGTTGACCAATGGGTGGCAACTATGGACTAATTGTATGGGCCGGTCTGACTGATTAGATTGAATTAAATTTTTTGGTATACATGTGAGCGGCTAACGTTTTGCTTAGACGAGCTAACTTGTGTCAAACATAATGATCTGATTTCAGCGTTGCGTCGCAAGTGCAGGATCAACCTACTTGACGCCATTTCTTTGAAGCAATAACAAAAGGAGGCTCCGGGCTTAAATGCTTTCCTCTACCAAATACTTTACCAAATAGAGGCTACCTTGTAGTCACGTTATAGTCGAAAGGTTGTCTATAAAAGATTATACTTGTCTGTAAACACCGAAACGAACTAGACTGTAAAATCTTTGGATACTAACTCAAAAATAATTAGGACTCACAAAACAATATCGGCTATCCAATATTTCATAAAAGTAAACATAGCTTATGAACTCCACAAATATTTTCTGATGACGCGCTAGAAGATATCAGAAATTTGAAAGGCTATTTTTCGATATATTTTTTCCGACGCTTATACTTCCAGAAATATTTTGATGTGTTGAAAAATTGTTGGAAACTGAAAAATGATAAAAACAAAGCTTGGGAATGTTTTCATGTGTTTTTTCTTATAATTTCAGGGCTTAGAAATTCGAAAAATCTCGCAAATTTGATAATACTTCTTACCTAGCCTATGTGCGGGAAATATACCTACTCTCAAACTTCAGTTCGTTGCCAGTAACATTTTGGCATGCAATGAGTTCATGAAATCGGCAAATTTATTGAAGAGGAAATAAGTCTATATCAGACAAATTTTGCGAAAATGCGAAGATTTGCTTAATGTTTTGTGATATTCGCCAAAGCACCACTTTCAATGATATCCTCAGCTATATCCTTCCACTGAAAATAAGTGTCATCCTGACAACAGGATGATAAGATTGCCTAACAAATAACTGTAACAAATGATAACTCTTTTTGATACACAAAGATTCCAATCATGTCTTCAGGCTTCAGATCTCAACTCAATCAAGATACCTAAGGCCCGTATCGTCAGTCGTCCCTACAATTGTAGGGCGCGTTTATGGCCTCCTTGATTGTCATACTCCTTTCTCTCCTTCAAAAATTTCTAGATCACACTTGTCCCGTGTCAGCGTCAGCACTCTCCTATTGTGAAGATATGTTTTGTTTTTAAATTGTAAATTAATTATTAATTGTAAATTTCAGGCTGATAAAACATGATATAACTCAAAAGCAAGCACAATTTGATGCAACTAGATGTTTGTGACATAACCTCAAAATAGAGCGCTGACACGGAGAAGTAGAAAACTATGACAATCAAGGAGGCCATAAAGGCGCCCTACAATTGAAGGGACGACTGACGATACGGGCCTAAGAGGTTAACCCTATGCTGCCAGGTTTACCTTTTGATTATCAGATCATTCAGTTTATAGATACCTTAGCATAAATTAGCGCTAATGAACATAAAATGACCCATCAAATGTCATACAGTATGCTATTACCAGTGTTACACAGCAGGTCATCATAGGTAATATAAATGGCAACGCTGGCTGGATGATTCCAGTCTATTGAAGGGATTCGACTTGTTATTTAACCCACCTTCCCCCGATTTTCCAAATTCCTTGAATCGGACAGCATTAGGATCGGTAGCGCTATTAGAGGGCTTTTAGTGCAACAAAAATAACGAAACTTTAAGCATTCCGTTAGATTATTTGACCGCGACAACAAGTAACAAATGGCAACACAACAAGAGTTTTTTTGATCACTAAAGTGAACCGTGGTAGCTTGACAATACTGAATACTGACAGTTATAACATGTTGCTTATTTTTTGTTCAATGTTGACTTAAAGCTGTGTTAAATTGTTTCATAGAAAAGTTTCGTTAATAGATATCCAAATCTGACATGAAATGAATAGGTTAGGAATATAGAGCCACAGAAAGACAACTCGCCATAAAACCAGCAGAACTGCAATACCTGTCTCATTGCGTATATATAACAAAAGTTAGGATAATTTGTTATAGTTAGAACATTGTCTACTTCTTGTATTTATTTTTATCTGTGATCTGAAAGTCATATTTCTATTATATTTTTACCAATGTTCTCATAAACTCTTTTAATTAAGCTAATCCAGCTTCGAACTTCAGCCATTATGGATACTGCTGTAACGCATTACGCATTGTGTTAACTCGAGGTAGATTACGGCTAGAGGTGGATGAATCCTGAGTTAGCTGAGATTTTTTATTAGAGGTAGGTATAGTAGGAGACCGTGCTTTGTGTTATAGATAACTCCAAAAATTATAGTCCCAAAGCAAAAACGAAACTGTTTTACTTATCTCAAGTAAACACATATGACTGAAGCATTTTTACAATATTTTATGAAATTAAATCGTCCACCTTCCACCGTAAATATACAAAAATGGCTTAGACATTGAGAGAAACTTAATATTCTTTTTCTAGCATCGTTAATAACTCTAATTGATTTAAATTCCTGTTTTTTTTTTCGTTAATGTTTCTCGATATCCGCAAAGTTTACTGCCTCAAAGCATATGCTCCCAATGACCCGCCAGACCACTTATAGTATTTTTATCGTACATCTTACCCGATGTCTCGAAACATATCCAATCAGTCCAGGACGTATCTTCGCATCTGCACGGAAAAGTATTCTGCTTCGAAATTTTGCATAGTCTGATTCAAAGACACCAAGAAAATTCCATAGACCGTTTTATTTTTTGCTCCTGACAAGAAGCGCGCTCACACAGAGCAGAACACACTGAGCACGCGCTTAGTTAACAATTAAATAACATAGATACCCTCCAAATGTTTTGAAATTTTATTAACGGGAGTTTGGAGAACGTTTAGAAGCTTTGGAAATTTTCGTTTTTCCTTCTTGTTTTCCAGTGTCAAAAATGGCAGATATTTCGCACTTTTTCAAATTTAAAATTACGAAACCATCATATTTAGTGAAAATAACTTTGTTTCAGAATGACCTAGAAAACGTAAAAAACCGTACGAAGCCGAAAAACCCACTTTTGGAACCTGTTTAGAAAATGAACAATTTTTGACGCAATCTTGGGACTGGCAACATTCAGGTTCTACATAAAGTATAAAAGAGGTATCTGTCTGATAAGATTATGCAAAAGAACTAAATAAGTATATTTTTTCGAACAGTACTTCCTGGACTAGTTAATTTCAGCTACATCAGAAAACGTACATCTACGCTGCGTTTGCCGTAATCCATTCAGAGTGGAATCTCACAAATGTTAGTGACAAAAGGAGCCTCCCTGCGTGACTTCCAGATGTTTTGTCGCACGTGCATATTTCACAATACTATCACTACACCTAGACACGAATAGCCACAAAAATTTTCAAGAGAGCAACTGCGTCGCAAAAAAGTAGTCCAACATCCTTTTGACAGAAATTGTGTGGCACCGACAGAATTATAAGCAAGACCTCACTTCATGTAATCCTATAGGTGACAATGTCGTTTATACCACGCTACTACATCCACGAAGTAGTAGTTGGGCGTGCTGAAAATAAAGATGTAGACATCAGAAGTCTGAAGCTTCTCATTACGGGAAGCGCTCCCATAAGTGCAAACCAGATGGTGGACATGATTACCTGGAAATGCTGCCAAAAACAAAATTTCGGATATTAACAAGATTGTTCAACATTGAAATGCCTATTTAACAGGCTACAGGCCAAGCTGCTTAATATACCGTGTATCCCAGATTCGCTCCTCTATACAGGGATTTCGGCTCCTGTTATACCTAGAGCAAAGATTGAGTGGAGAAAGTTTTAGAAGAAATTTAGTGCATTCGATAGCCGGATTCAGATTTACGATCGGTTAATTGGTTTAAAAAAAAAACGACGAAAAATCGAAAATGTCGAATTTTGTTTTTGCCAGTAAATCCGAAACAGTTAATTTGCCAGCTATCAAAATGTGACATTATTCAGACATTTTTTAAGGCAGATGAGGTAGCGTGTATGACATGTCTCAATCGTCTTTCGTTTTCCCGCAACCTGCCTCAAGTTTCATATTTCTTAGCGTAAAATTTCCAGCCTAGTAATGTTTATACCTGTAAGTGCATGAAAGATTGGAGTATCATCAAAATACTATATCATCACACGTAATGTTATGAATTATTTTTTTTAAGGATGATTTATTTGTCAGAAAATAGTAACGCATTTTTTTCATCTACTTTGACGTTAAATAACTCAAACAATTAAAATTGTGTTAAGTAGTAGGTATGTTTGCTCTCATTAAAATCATAAATCTGACAAAAAAATTTCAAAACCGGTTGAAACTGGCCGGTATACCCTACTCAAATGAAAAAAAATTTGACATGTTAGCGCTGGACAGTGAGTGTTAAATAAGAATAAGTACCATCCATACAGACCTAAAATAATTCAAGGACTTAAGGAAACTGAGTTTCCAAGGCGCATGCGCTTCTGTGAGTGGTATACCAGGAAGTCTAATGAAAATCCCGATTTTGTATTTTTTTTGTTTTTTCAACACAGTCATAGTTGGGAATTGGTCCCAAAACAATTAACTTGTTGGGAAGTCGATAATGTGTTATTTTCTGACAAATAATTCATAGACTCCTTAGAAAAACACTAATACATAACATTACGTGTGATGATATTTCGGTGATGCGCCAATCTTTTATGCCCTTATGAGACATCACTAAACTGGAAATTTTACACTCCTTTCAAAAATCAAAAAATCCAATATGGCGGCCATACTTAACGTCAATCTGAACCCGGCTATCGCAAGCACCAAGTTTTCTCTAAAACTTTCCCCATTAAACAGTTGCTGTAGGTATAACAGGAGCCGGGACCCCTGTATAGAGAAGCGAATCTGAGACGTACTGTATTTTGGCATATGAGCCGTAGTTAGATCCGACTTAGCAATACAAGTAACAATTGAGAGACGAGTGAGACACCGAGTAGATATGCTACAATTGCATAAAGTCAAAATGACTTTATTGGGCAATTAAATCTTCATTATTTTTGGTTACTCCTATCGGGTTATTTGCAATTTTCCTAAATGTACTTATGCAAGGAATTCTTTACATCTAACAATAAAAGTGCTTTCGTAAGCCAGTAACCGCTTTTAATACATTAACAGCTTTTGGTGACGGATTACTAGAATCTGCTGCTAGAATCAATGGAAATGTTTAGAGTACTAATATTTGGCTCCATGAATTCTAACCAACCATAATCATAACTCTCTCTAAACATGGTTTGAACAAATACATGTTTTTTCAGATAGTCGACTTGGAAACCGAAAAACCAGTCACTGGTCCGTACAAAAAAGGTGAACTGCGCCTAAAGACTGACCTTCACATGAACGGTTACTACAAAATGGACTCTTCGGATGCCTTCGATTCCGAAGGGTACCTGAGAACAGGAGATGTTGCTTTTGTTGACGAAGATAACTGCTTGTACATTGACGACAGAATTAAGGAAATGTTTAAGTACAGAGGATGGCATGTACTCCCTGCTATTGTAGAAGAAGTCGTTATGGCGCATCCAGCTGTTAAGGAGGCAGCTGTCATAGGTAAAGACGTAGAAAATCCCTATTTGTCCAGGAAGTATCTTCGCATCTTCTCGAAAAAAGGATCAACTCGTTTTTTTTGCAAAATTTTATTCAAAAAGTTGGCCGCAGTATGTTTAGTTATTCAATGGCGAGTATACTACAACTACTATACCGTCATAATTGACAGCATTTCGCGGCCAAAGTGAAGGCCCGACTATCAAATGGGAATTGAAATTCTTACAGGTTCAACCGACAACCGCTGTTCAGTCTCTCAGTGGGCGATTATGGTAATAGAAGAAAATATCTCAAAATGCTTGAGTATCTGCAAGTTTTTTTTTACACATCGGGTGGGCAGAACACTAATCAGTTTCTTGCTGAGACTGAGAAGACCTCTTAAGAGACTAATTTGTTTAGTTGAAATTGGGTTTTGTGATACAGCATATTCGAGATTAGCGTCCAAATTACCCCAGTACGTCAGTCTTTTGCTAAGATTGACAGGACGTCAGATAGCCCGATTTTTTGACCCTCGATAGGGTTTGGTGACACTATTAAGATCTCTTGACGGCCATATCTGAAACTAGCATTTCAAATTACCGCTATGCACCGAGTTTCGATCATGTCTAGGCATGGACGTGGGACAAAACATATCGAAAATGGGTTACAGTCTTAAAATTCAGCATGATGTATTTCTTGCCTTTCCGAACAAAAGTGTCCCTGGGGGCAAAGCAATCCTTTGATTATTTCCTGAGAAATAGGCGGATAAAGTTTGCCTGTTTTGCATCAATGGTGGATGTCTCGGTCGTAGCTTGTAGATCTCAGATCATAAACTGGAACGATCAGTATACTAAAATAAATTTTTCGTTAGAGTACCTTGTAGAAAGGTGTTGGGAGGTATCGTGATGATCGTGACCATGATCCTTACAAGGCCAGCTTCAAGCCAAGTTGATTTCCATATGTTTATACCGGAATAGGTCTGGGACAAGATGCTCGACCAGTCAGAAAACTCAATAGCACGGGTAGTTTTTCAAGGGCTCGGAAAAGCCGAGGTTGTTTCCTTGTCTTTGATTCTAACCTTTACAAAGCCAAATTAAGATCATGTTGGTTTTGAAGATGGAAGGAAACAAAAAAGTGGACTAATGTGAACGTAGCTTCAGATTATTATGTTTTATTGACTATCAGTTTGAGTTTTCTTGTTTTGGTCTGCTTCCGACATATCGAATCGTTTGAGTAAACTTTTTCGAAGGATCTCCAAGATCATGGCGAGCAAGTCAAAAAACACATATACCTAGAGTTTGGACACCAAATTTACTTTACAGTAATGCCCATTAATCATTACAAGATTGTCAGATAAATCCTCGTAACTTTCAAGAACTTTTTGGTGCGATAACCATAACCGACAGTTTATTGGGTTTTAAAAACGTGGGAAAACCTCTTCTGCGGAAACTTGCTACTTCGTCTAACGCTAGACCTACGCTCGCCCCTTGCTATGTTGCTAACAGCTGATACGTTAATTTACCTTCCACATTAAATGGAGGATGGTACCTATCAATAAGAGCATGAGCTATTTTATAAAGGTCCCTAGATTTGTGTACATGCAGTATGAATAACTCTCGAACTGCCCGTCTTGTTTTGGTAACTAAGGTCCGTATGGACAGTCATTCCTACAATTGTAGGACACCTTTATGGCCTCCTAATACAAGTATGTATCCCACTTAAAAAGTCTAGAATACGTAATTTAAACTGTCCTTTTCATCGACGAATCTAGACACTTTCTAAAAAAGTTTTGTAACAGGTCTTCGAATGGCGTATGGACTCTTGGCAAACCGTACAAAATGAATCCTTTGAATACGTAACCTTCGCATTCAATCGATAATCTTTGTCTTTGTAGATTTCCAAATGCATTAAGAATAAGACAAAAACTGTACCCTTGAAAAGCTACCTGCCCCTTTAAGTTTTCTGAAATATCGAATAACTAGTACCAGATCTATTCCAGCATAAACAAATGAAAATCAACTTGCCTTATAAGGATCATGGTCCCGATCAGCACGACACCTCCCAACACCTTCCTACACGGTCTTTTAACCAAATATAAAAGTTCAAAAGCAAGGCACTTAAATAAAACAACGATAGTTCTTGCATTTCTGCAGTGGCATCAATGACCAATGACAAGTTAATAGTCATAAAGCGGCTCACCTTCTCTCATAATTTGATTTGGAAACTTTGATATCGACCAAACGCTTTTTTTAGGAATTCCTCATTCTGAAGATGGAGAGCATGCAATGGCTCTCGTAGTATTGAAAGAAGGACACGAGAACGTCTCGCCAGAAGACATAAAGAAATATGCAGACGAGAGTCTAAGTGAAGCCCAAAAACTAAGAGCTGGAGTTAAGATTGTTGATGAGCTGATCAGAACAGCCACCGGAAAGGTGAAGAGGAAGGCCATGAAGGAGATGATTTTGAGTAACGGAAAAGTTAGAGCTACGTGAAGATATTGGTTCCTTAAAGAGAAAAGAATTATCTAGGTACACTGGTAGTGAGTAAATTGGCGGTATGAGATATTTGCACCTAACAGTATATCTTAGAAGTCAATATAGTAGTAAATACTATGTCCTTTTTCTTTTATGCATGCTACCCGATATTCCGCTAGGTCCGCAACCCCGAATGAAATGTCAGTTTTTGGAGAAGAAGAAGGGGAGATGAGGTTCTTTTTTCGATTTTCCTCCAAAATATGGCAGCCATTGCTGCTCTCAATTATTTGCAACAGGAACACACGATATGAGATTTAGCAGTAGTTATTCTGGGGTGATACTATGACAGTTTGGTACCCTGTCCATCAAGTTCTCGTGGTCGATGACTCACGTACCATTCTTGTCCCTGAAGAAGTGATGGTCAATGACCAGAAGGTGATGAACCTGTGTTAAAAGAATCCCCTGTGCCGAAGAAGAAGTGAAGTGATCGTCAATTACCAGGTAACCTGTGCCCGAAGAAGGTCATTGACCTTTACCTGTATACCTGTAGAAGTGATCGTCAATGATCAGAAGGAAGTAAGGAGGGTTTGTTTCTTGCGCGCTAATTGTAGTCACCACCACGACCACCACAACCACCGCTGAAGACTTTAACGTAATTTCTGCGGGCGAGTTTAAATTGTAGTACCACGTGACCTGTGACGTAATTTTTGGCGCCAAATTCAAATATTGTAGTTATAGAAAAAAGGTTGTCTGTATCGTGTTTCGAACCCGGCACCTCTGTATAAAAATAGTGTAGCACAATGTCAGTTGCGCTAGCTAGCCAGGCTGATAATAAGTTTCCGTTTTTCTGATACATTTGCGAAGTGTTCGGTGTGGTATCCGATAACAGCGGATTCTCGAGCATAGCCGAGATAACATGAGAAAACAAGATAGTAACCGTCCTATCAACCAGATAATGTGTGTTGACTTTATGTTTGCATAAATACAAAGATTCTATTTATCTAATTAGTAAATGTTGATAGGATGCACTTTTTAATAGTCCAGTAAGAAAGGGTCAAATAAAAAAACAACAGATTATTATGTTTTCTTTTATTGGATACATTGAAGTATGATTAGTACAATTATATTATCTGTATTTAAATAAACTTTGACAAGATTTGACAGTGGATCATACTTTACTAAAACGATCATTAAGTATGAGACAAAATGCTGTTGGCTCTTTTTCTGATGTTTCAAATTCTAAGCGTATATCTACAGCGATAGATTTTAAGGTTTAATTTTGTCTACTACAATCTATGACAATTATCGCAGCTAGTTCAACAAATTTTTTTAACGTCAATCAGGGTTCGCTGGAATTTTTGTAGTAATATGATTATTGGAATTCTGCATACATTTCGTATAAAATGCTCATGTGATTTTTGCTAAAATTGAAGTTTACATTATCATATGGATACACTTCAGAATTGAGATACAGTTTTATATTAGTAATAATACAGTGATCGAAATGACTCATATATTTATCGAGCTGATTTTTTCGTGCTGTTTGAAGGGCAACGATAACGAAACGCGGTGTCTCAAGTTGACTACTTGCTTTAACGTTCCATGTGTGTCTTGTTGTTTGTTGCAGAATACTTAGGGTAAAGACAAACAGAGCTGTTTTGACCGACGCGTTTATCGAATCGGCCGCGTTCTAGTAATCCACATTGAGCTGTTTCTTCAGCGGTTTATGCAGTGATCCATTCGATTTGCAGAATGGATGACGTATTGTATTTATCGCTACTGTATTTGTATTGGAAAATTAGTAAAAAGAAAAAAAGGAATAGAAGAATGTGGATACATCCAATCATCGAAGAAAGGCAACGAAAAGGTCATTTTCATACATTATTTGCTGAAGTATAAAGAGATGAAGAAAAGTTTTTCAACTTTACTAGGATGTCGCGAAGTACTTTTTACGAGTTATTAGCAGTTTGTGGAGAAAAACTAGCAAAGAAAGATACACGTATGAGAAATGCGATAACACCAGAAGAAAAACTAGTAATAACTATCCGGTAAGCAAATAAATTAGGTAACTGTTTCTCATTTTATTAAAAATTTATTCCAAAATCTTTCATACATTATAAGAGTATATTTATTCAATTCATATTAAATATATTAAACTGGGAATCGTCTTCCGAAAAGTGGGAATAATAGCTTCTAACTGATTCAGCTGGTGAAGGAGCTGGAGGTAGTGTGGAGTTTATCTGTTGTTTGGCGGCATTCTGAGATACTCCATACTGCTCTTGTGGATGTTGTACAAGTCCTGACTGACTGGGATAATGGGTTATGGAATACGTTTGCTGATGTGGAGGTGGTGGTGTGTGTGATGTCTGATTTGCTTCGGTCCTGGTTGCATACTTCGAAATAGTCTGCATTATTTCAATCCTGCATTTTGTATTTAAATGTCTTGGCAGTGCAATAAGTGAAAGTACTAAGGAAAGTGCAAAGTGGTAATTGTCATCTTCAGTCATCGTCTTTTTTGCTCTTTTTTCGTAATTTTCAAGTGAATGTAATATTTTTTCTTCGACCGGGTGTGTCCTTTTTTGCCAATTTTAGAATTATACTTTTCTTCATAGATTAAAGTGGACGTTTCAGGGTTATTTGTATCTAATTCGGATGAATATTCATTATCCAATGAACTGGTGGTTTGTCTGGGCAGTATTACATCTGTGAGAAATTGAAATTGTAACCTCTGTGTATCAACGTAAGGAGCTTTCCGATAAGCTCCAGCCCTGACTTTTCTTTCCTTTGATGAATATCTCTTGAAAAGTTGTCTCGGATATTTTTCCACTTTTTATGCAATTCACTACCTGTAACAAAATAGAATTACGTACATTACGTTTTAATTAACTGCATTTTTTCATTTTAGATATTTGGCTACGGGCCGAATTAGATTATAATTTTCGTATTGGTAGTAACATTATCCAAGAAGTATGCGAAGCAATATGGATTGAATTAGCAGACAAAGTTATACCGCAATGTTCAACAGAGAAATGGATAGAAATTGCTAAAGGATTTCAAACATGTGCACAGTTTCCCAACTGTATAAGAGCAATAGTCGGGAAACATATTCGGACTAAGCAGCCACCCAATAGTGGGTCTATGTACTAGAATTATAAACAGTACTATTCTACGGTACTGTTTGCGATGTGCGATGCCAATTATTGCTTCACGTATATTGAAGTGGGATCATATGGTAAATCAAGTGATGCTGGCATATTCACAAATTCTAAACTTTATGAACGATTAATTGATGGTACATTGGGAGTCCCTGCACCATGTGCTATTGACGAAACGAATGAAAAATATCCTTAGTCCGAATATGTTTCCCGTCTATTGCTCTTATACAGTTGGGAAACTGTGCACATGTTTGAAACCCTTTAGCAATTTCTATCCATTTCTCTGTTGAACATTGCGGTATAACTTTGTCTGCTAATTCAATCCATATTGCTTCGCATACTTCTTGGATAATGTTACTAGCAGTAGATCTACCAATACGAAAATTATAATGTAAATTGGCCAAAGAGCAGCCCGTAGCCAAATATCTAAAATAAAAAAATGCAGTTAATTAAAACGTAATGTATGTAATTCTATTTTGTTACAGGTAATGAATTGCATCAAAAGTGGAAAAATATCCGAGACAACTTTTCAAGAGATATTCATCAAAGGAAAGGAAAGTCAGGGGCTGGAGCTTATCGGAAAGCTCCTTACGTTTATACACAGAGGTTACAATTTCAATTTCTCACAGATGTAATACTGCCCAGACAAACCACCAGTTCATTGGATAATGAATATTCATCCGAATTAAATACAAATAACCCTGAAACGCCCACTTTAATCTATAAAGAAAAGTATAATTCTAAAATTGGCAAAAAAGGACATACCCGGTCGAAGAAAAAATATTACATTCACTTGAATATTACGAAAAAAGAGCAAACAAGACGATGACTGAAGATGACAATTACCACTTTGCACTTTCCTTAGTACTTTCACTTATTTCACTGCCAAGACATTTAAATACAAAATGCAGGATTGAAATAATGCAGACTATTTCGAAATATGCAACCAGGACCGAAGCAAATCAGACATCAGATACACCACCACCTCCACATCAGCAAACGTATTCCATAACCCATTATCCCAGTCAGTCAGGTCTTGTACAACATCCACAAGAGCAGTATGGAGTATCTCAGAATGCCGCCAAACAACAGATAAACTCCACACTACCTCCAGCTCCTTCACCAGCTGAATCAGTTAGAAGCTATTATTTCCACTTTTCGGCAGACGATTCCCAGTTTAGTATATTTAATATGAATTGAATAAATATACTCTTATAATGTATGAAAGATTGTGGAATAAATTTTTAATAAAATGAGAAACAATTACCTAATTTATTTGCTTACCGGATAGTTATTACTAGTTTTTCTTCTGGTGTTATCGCATTTCTCATACGCGTATCTTTCTTTGCTAGTTCTTCTCCACAAACGGCTAATAACTCGTAAAAAGTACTTCGCGACATCCTTGTAAAGTTGAAAAACTTTTCTTCATCTCTTTGTACTTCAGCAAACAATGTATGAAAATGACCTTTTCGTTGCCTTTCTTCGATGATTGGATGTATCCACATTCTTCTATTCCTTTTTTTCTTTTTACTAATTTCCCAATACAAATACAGTAGCGATAAATACAATGCAAATGCAAAAAAATGCAAATCGCTGCATAAACCGCTGAAGAAACAGCTCAGTGTGGATTACTAGAACGCGGCCGATTCGATAAATGCGTCGGTCAAAACAGCTCTGTTTGTCTTTACCCTTAGGCCCGTATCACCAGTCGTCCCTACAATTGTAGGGCGCGTGTATGGCCTCTTTGATTGTCATACTCCTTTCTCTCTTTCAAAAATTTCTAGATTACACTCCCGTGTCAGCGTCAGCGCTCTCCTATTGTGAAGGTATGTTTTCTTTTTAAATTGTAGGAAATTTCAGGCTGATAAAACATGATATAACTCAAAAGCAAGCACAATTTGATGCAAATAGGTGTTTGTGACATAACCTCAAAATAGAGTTCTGACACGGAGAAGTAGAAAACTATGACAATCAAGGAGGCCATAA